CCACCCCCATGTCCACATAGGCTGGCACTCCACCCTCACCCAGGGATTCCTAAAACCTCGTTCCTCACTCTGGGTTTTCTGCCCAGGCCTCTCCTCAGCTTGTCACCGTCAGTGACCAGATGCCAACAGTCCCGGGCCTGGGACGCGGACACCCCCCCCCTCACCCCCCCCAGCTCTCTCGGGCTATGGTCACAGCCACAGGGAAACCGAAGGCAAGAGTGAGAGCCGCAGCGTCTGTCCCCTATCGTCCCGGAGCGGCCGGTGGCAGCACACTGAGCCCCTCGGTCGGGAGAGGGGAGCGTGGCGGAGCGGAAGGCAGGGGGCTGTCTGAGAGCTCAGTTCCAGACACACTCATTGAGCTCCACGCGATGGGCGTGGGTCACACACCCACCCACACGGAGACGCTGGTTCTGTTCTGCAGGGCCCAGCGCGGGGGGACAGGCCCGTCAGGAGGCCGAGGCCGGACAGGGGCGGGAAGAAGGGGGGAGTAGCCAAGCAGCCCCTTGGGAAGGGCGCAGGAGGGGGAGGCCCAGGGTGAGGGGCCTGAGATGCGGCCAGAAGCCCGGGAGGTGGGCTGCGGGGTGAGGCTTGTCAAGGTGTCTCCCGCCCTCAGTGGACGGTTAGGATACTCGCAGGGTCTCAGGGCTGAGAGGGACCCCACTCTAGTCCATTTTACAAGCGATTTCCTCAGAAGCCTCAGTCCTCAGGCGCCACACCTGTGTGACCCGGCACCGTACTCCCACTCCGGCCACTGAAGGCTGGCAGCTTGTGGGCACAGGAGGAGGATGGCGGCCGGGCCGGGGAAGAGGGGCCGCTGGGGAGAGCTTAGCCAGGGGACGAGCTCCACTCTGCAAACATCCCTGGGTGGACAGCGGGTGGCTGCTTCCAGAGCCTGCCTGAGCCCAGCTGAGCTGTCCCCACGTCTGGGCCTCTTGTGGGCACTGCCAGCCCCACAGCAGCTCCGCAGTTCCCAGCCCTGACAGGGACTCTTTCTTACAAGTGGTCATGTGCCAGGGGCACAGACACCAGAGCAGGCCCACACCCTGACACGCAGGGACCAGACCGGCCAGGACGGGGGGCGGCCGGCAGCAACTCTTCACCTCCAGCTCCTCCGGAGGGGCCGCAGCCCTCAGTGCCTCCCCACCCGGCCCCGGCAGCGGACCGAGCCGTTCCACTTCTTCACTCTTCCAACGAAAACAAAATACACATCGCCCGCTTCCTTTTTCCTCTCACAGGATCCACACACACACACACACACACACACACGCTCACACAGACACATGCACACACAGGCATGCACGAGCACACGTGTGTGCGCACACACACAGATGTGCTCACATGGACACATACACATGCACACAAGGCACATGCACACACAAATAGGCGTACACACACATACATACACACACACACACACGCTCACACAGACACATGCACACACAGGCATGCATAAGCACACGTGCGCGCGCACACACACAGTTGTGCTCACATGGACACATGCACACAAGGCACATGCACACACAAATAGGCGTACACACACACACACACAGTGAACGCACACTTCACCTCACATTCCTAAACTCACACCCAGGGCCGGCTCCTTTTACAGCAGGTCCCGGCCGCTCACATCTCAAACCGGTTCTCATGCTCTCAGACTCCTGGAGGCTTCAGAAAACAATCTCATTTAGGGGGTACTGATAACTTTCTTCTTTCTCTGCCTGTAGGATTTCTGGCTCCCGTGTCTCCTAGTCCCCTCTCTCATTCCACCCTGGAAATACTCAGGGAGATGAGGGGTAAGAACTGGAAAAGCTCTCCGACCCCACCCCCACGGGACATGTCACTGCGAGAGGAGAGGTCAAAGGGATTCCTGAGGAATTTCTAAGCAGTCCAGCCCTCTCTACCCTCTGGGAAAGGTGGGGTGGGGGTTGGATTGAAGACCAGGCTCCGAGAGTGGGGACTGACTCTCTTCCCAGTGGCCTGACGGGGCACGGGCATTAGCCGGCTGCCAAGGGGCCACCCTCGCCCGCTGACACGGTTATGGTTTTCATTTCATATTTTGGAGGGAGGGGCTCGGAGGAACAGTCCCCTCACTGTAAGGGCTGGCCACAGGAGCCCAGGGAAGCGGGAGGAGAGGAAACAGCCACATTAAAGAGGAAGAAAGGGGTGGGGGAGAAAGAGAGACGCACACACCCAGACAGAGACCCGGGAAACGCGCCGAGACAGAGAGACACTGTTTGCCGCCGATGGACGCTCTCAGCTCCGTTACTGGGAAACTAAATACACGACTTTATCAAAACTGTCCCCAACGGGGAGAGAAAACAGCCAGGTACCCGGCTCTCCCTCCGAGCCCCTCCTGGGGACACATTTTCCCCGAGGCCAGGGGACCTTTCATTCAGCTGTAACCTGAGCCCTGCACCAGGATTAGGCCTTTTAACCACTGCTGCACCCCCCCCCCCCCCAAAAAAAAAAAAAAAAAAAGCAAATTAATGCTTTTAAGTTAACAATTATCTTGGTTATCCAGTCTGTCTACTTTAAAATACTCAGACAGGCACTTGAAAAACACTCAAAACCATGTACCCTCATGCTCACTCACTCCAGTCCCACGGCTTACCCACCATGCATGCACACACAGTCCACGGGAACATCCCTATTCACAGGGAACAGGTCACAGCTCACACAGACCCCAGCGGTGTCACCTGTGGGCGATCCTGATGAACCGCACACACACTCACCCACACACTCGGCTCCCTTCCCTGGTTCCCCCACCCCACCCGCCTCTGGAGAAAAGCGACAGAGATGCCGTTATCCCAAAAGTACAGTCACTGCACAACATACGCGCCGAGGATGCTTGTACTGTGGAGACCCGCTGGAGCTCCGTGTAAAGGGATGTGGCGGTAAAGGCACACTCTGTGGAACTGGTGAGACCGAGGAGAGGTATTTGGGAGCTAGGATTTTCGGTCTGTGAGCAATGCTTGTCCCTCTGCAGCCCTGGCCTGCAGATGCGGGACTAGCGACATCCCTCTAACTCACCAAAGCTGCTGCTGGGAAATCCTGGAAGACTAGGTTGATAAATTTCCTGAACAGCAGGGCCAAAGGCAGCTGGAATGACAAGGCTTTGATGCTCTGCTCGGCCAGACTCAGGGATCAGTGGGAAGGAAGACGCAAAGCGAACCAGAGCCCAGCTGGATGGAGCAAGTGTGGCCCGTGAGGTAAGCAGTGAGCAAACTGTGTGGGAGTTCCTTGAGGGCAGGGCCTCCTTTTCATTGCTTCCCCTCTTCCCCCCTCCCCCCAGGAAAGAGGGAGCCTGAGAGTGCCTTGGAGGGTTTCTGAGTCCTCCTGCTCCTGAATGATGGGCTGGTCTCCTTGGCTTGATGGCATCTGTCTCTTTAGGAGTCTCCATCTGCCCCAGGAACCCCCTTGAATGGGTATACTTCTTGCTCTTCCCCCCTAACACCCCCCCCCAACTTACTCGGTCTCTGCAGACACTGGCTCCAACTTGAAAGAGGCCCTTATCTTGTCTCTAGATTACCGCATGAAATCTGTTCCTTCCTTCAGACTAAACTCCCCAGCTAATTCCATGTTATGAGGAAGTCAGCACGCACTACAAAAGCCAGCTTTGTTTATGAAAACACAGCAAATCCGGGGCTGGGGTAGCAGTGGGAGTGGGCGTCTGGAACCAGGAGGGGAGCAGAAGCGGCGTGGGGTCGGAAGGGATGGGGGTGGGGTCTGGTGTTTGACAGCTGAGGGTCTCTTGAGTGTTGGTTCTGCTAAAGGACGCGCTGGAGGAGGAAGGGGTGGCCGAAGAGGCAGTGTTTGGAAAGAAGAGGATAGCACTGATACAGCACCTTCCTTTCAGCAGAGGGGAAGCCCGTCCAGTACAAAGAGCAGCTTAAGAACCAAGCGCCCAGGCTCCCGGACACAGCGACCGGACGACCGACGGAGATCAGGCTTCCCCAGCTCCCAAGTTCAACTTTCCCTTCTGGCCCAGCCACCTCCACTCCCCAGCCCGGCCTCCGGCCTCCTTGGATAACAGGCAGAGAGTCCTGTCCTCCAGGGCAAAGCCTCCAGGAGGCGTTCTCTTTCTGCACAAAAACCCCTTCCTGGGTGAGGCGCGACGAGAGTGATGCAGCGAGGTCAAGGGGGAGGGGAGGCTGTCCCCAGGAGAACTGCCCTCCACCAGCCCGGTTTCTGGTTTCTGGTTTCTGCCAGCCCGGCCTGGGGACTGGCCAAGCAGTGAGCCTGGGGTCCTGGGTGGGGGCGGGAGGGCCTCCCTGTCGCTCTCCTTAATTCCTAGAGGGATCTGTCAGAGCTCCCCAGCCTGGAATTTTACTTTGTTATTTTAACGCAATTCTGACCTGGATTTAAATGGAACTGGAAACCCGAGGCCTTAATAAATAAATATTATGATAAGAAATGAAAGCCATGCAAGATGCGAGGTTTCCCCTCCGACAGGCAGCAACTCCACATTCCTGCCCAGTATCAGTCACAGACTTCTCTTCCCCAGCCCCTACCATCCAGCGAGAGAGGAGCTGCCTTTTCCATAAAGGATCCTGCTTTGCTTTAACGCTTTCCTGCCGATAAGACAGCTACTTCACAAGTCCTGTCTCGCTTTGCAGGAGGACCGGGGCGAGGGGAAGAAGTCCATGGCGTGGCTGGAAAGTTTGCCTTCTCATCTCTCCAGGCACTGAGAGGAGACTCGATCTCAGACGTCTGGAGGGCAGAGATTCCCAAGATGCTGGGGTGACAGTGAAATGGGCAGAATTCTGAGGTGCATGATCGCTGCCCAGGGCTCCCCAAACTTCTCACTCCCCCGCGCCGCCCCTGGCTCTTCTAGCCCTTCGCCTGGGGCGCAGCGCCCAGAAGTCAGGTCCCCATTGGGAGGGAGGGAGGGGGTGCACCGAGCGGGTCCTGACAGCAGCACGCTGCCCAGCACCTGCCCAGCCCTGGGGAAATCGCGCCCCCGCCCTCGGGCCCCGCAGCCCGGCGCCCCCCTGCCTTACCTTGCACGGCTCTGCTGTGCTGGGCGGCGCGGGCGTGGAGCAGCAGGACGAGCAGGCAGAGCCCGGGCAGGCGCCGCGAGCCCATGCTGGCGCTCCCGGGCCGGCGGCCGGGGCCGGGGCGCAGCTCCGAGGGCGGAAGCGGGCGGCCCCCGCGCTCCGGAGGGGGAGGGGAGGGCGCCCCTCCGGGGCCCCGGCCGGGGGCTGCGGGAGCGGGGCGCCCGGCGGCACCCGGGCTGGAGGCTCCGGACCCTGTCGGCTTCTCCCGACCCGACGCCGGGAGGAGCGAAGCGGGGAGCGCGGCGAGGCTGGGGGCGCCCGAGCCGCGGACGGAGGGAGCCCCCGCCCTCCCAGCGGTCGTGCTGGCGGCGGCGGCGGCGGGGCTGCTCCGTCTAATCCCACCCAGTTCCCAGCTTCGCCCGAGAGAGCTGCAGCCCGAGAGCGCGGAGCCCGGCGAGGGACCTGAGAAAGGGGAGGGGAAACAGCGCAGAAACACGCCCTTTCTGCCTCTTTCTTCCTCTCTCGCTCTTTCCCCGGCTCCCGGCTCCGGCTCTTTTTCTTCGCCTTTCTCCTCCTCCTCCTCCTCTTTCTCCTCCTCTCCTCGCTCCTTTTCGTCTTCTCCCTCCTCCCCCTCCTCCTCCACCACCACCTCCTTTTTCGTGCCCTTTTTTTCTTTCAAACGGGGCCTCGGCGGCGGCCGCTCCCCCCGCGCGGGCGGCCCCCTCCCCAGCTGCCGGGCCGCAGCCTGCAGGAATTTACAATCCGGGCTGGGGGAGCGGGCCCGGTCGCCATGGAGACGGCTTCCCCGGGAGCAGGGAGGTCAGGCGCAGACCGCGCACAATCAATGGATCAATGCAAACCCCGCTCGGCTCCAGACCAAACAGCACCTGGCTCCGGGCCGTCCCCTCTCCCCGCGGGGAGAGTGGGGGCCAGGGTGCGCCCCCGCGCTCGCACGCGATGAGGGCCGCCGCCGCAGGTTTGCACGCACACCTCCGCGAGGAGACAAAGAGCCAGGGGTGCCGGCGAGACCGGGGCCGGCAGGATCGCCCGGGCGCCCAGGCGTGTCCGCCGACACGGGGGGGACACGGCCACAGAGGACCTTGAAAAAACGGAACAGCTCGAAAACCGGCCGATGTGCGCCCTCCCAACTCCACCCCACGCCTCATCCCCGGAACTCAGTTCCCAGTTGTGGTGCTGAATCCACTTTAATTGAGGATTTAATTGAAGAAGAAAGCAGCCTTCCCCCAGCTAGACCTTCCAGCTCCAGGGCCAACTCCTCTGCAGTGAAGGCCTTGAAGGTAGCCCACTGAGCCACCCGACCCGAATAGCCCTGGGCTCACATGTAAAACATCCTAATGTGCTCAGCGCAGGGGCAGAAGCCAACCTACAGAGATCTGCCTAATGTGTGCAAGTGCAAACAGAGACTGTCCAGGGCTGCACCAGACTGCCCTGGAGGCTTCAGGACTGGTCCCGATTTGACTCTGGGTGTAGGCACGCGGTGTAATACACAGATCTTGTAGCATTGAGACCAATTCACCCCAATCAGTTTAAAAAAGAAGAGATGTGGTCCTGACCAGCCCCTGAATCCTTTATCCCTCCCACGGCCGGGGCAGCTGCAGAAAGAAAATGAGATTTTAAAAAACAGGGCAAAGTATGTGTCCCTGAGCCGCGGCCACCGCCCCTGACACGCTCAGGAGCGAGGGGAGGGCTTTCTGGGCGATGGGCTTCAGTCTGACCGAGCCGTCAGAAAATTATGTTCCGGAGCCAACTGGGCCCCATCTAGCCTCCCAGAGCCCTCGGGGCGGCCGGAAGGGACAATAACAGATCTCCCTGAACATAACTCAGTCCCCGGACCTTTGACACTGGCAGCCCACATCTGCTGGGTGACAGGCGGCTTTGTCAGCGGTCTCCTTGGCCCCGGGGAGAACGGAGCCCTTTCTTCCCCAGGGACGGAGTGGGCCGGGGAGGAGGGGAACCGGCTCCCGCATCGGGGCTTCCTGTCCCCCGCTCTGTCCTGGGTGAGGATTGCCTTTGGGCGGGTCACATCTCACTGGGCCGCAGTGTCCTCATGGAAAACAGGACGGATGAGCTCAGTGGCGGTCGGGAGACCGTGTCCCCAGGAAGCCGGGGCAGGCGGCCTGGGGACCGCCCTACCTGGGGAGAAAGGAGGCAGCTGGGATGGGAGCACACGGATCATGGGAACGGTGTGGAGGCCACAGAAATGTTGGGTCAGATGACCTCCGAGGTCCCTTCCAGCCCTCCTTCATTCCATCAGCAAACCCCTCCCCTCTCAGCAGCTTCGCCTGCTGCCACCAATTATGTGTAGGGCTGGAGGGCAAGTGCGAACTTGCCATCCTCTCTGCCCAAACAAGAGAGTGGTTTTTAAGAGAAAAAAAGAAAGAATTGTAGGTTGCCAGATGATGCCTGATCTATCGGGGGGGCGGGGGAGAGCCGAGGAGCGCCCAGGGCTGCGCCTTGCTCTGGACACGGGTGAGCTTCTCTGGGTCCCGAGGAGGAGGGTGCCAGCTGCCCTGTGAGGCAGGTGATGGCACAGAGGATTCTGTGCGGGCAGATCAGTAAGTTATCTCAGGGTGGCGTGCTGGTCCTCTGAATGTGGACATTGTCCTGGCTGGGGGAGGGGCCTGGGTGGGCCATCCCACCTCAGTCCCTGTGTGTCCAGGAGGCTTCTTCTCCTTTCCCCCTTTTTTGCCAGCTTTCCCTGTTTCCTCTGCTCCTCTTGCACCAGGTGGGCTTCCTCCGCATCAGGGCAGAAAAGGCAGTTCCCTCCTGTTCCCGCCGTCCAGTCCAGTCCCATCCAGCAGGGGCAGGCTCGTGTCACGGGGGCACAGTGAATCGGGTTGCTGGTCACATTGCCCTCTGCACCGTCCACTTCTGCAGGGACACCCCACTGGATGGCGCCTCAGGAAGGTGACAGGAAGGGACAATGAGGTGGCTCTTGCTAACGGCATTGCAGAGCAGCAGCCCAGCCAGCCCCTGGGTTCCTGGCCTTCCATCCACACTCCCTTTCGAGCTCACTTTCCTTCAGGGATGCTTCTGACAGCCCCCCCCCCCCTCCTTCGTCCTGTAGCTGTCCCGGAGAAGACGGCCTGGAGCCGCTAGTGGACATGCCACGGTTCCCATCCTGCTGCAGGACACCTCTGCCCAGGCTCCACCTCCTCCAGGGCTGCCCCTCGCTGCCAGTCTCCTTCCATGAGCCTTTGCTTTCCTCCCTGCTCCTCAGCTTCCCCATCTGTGAAACGGGTCTAGTGGCCCTACCTCAACAGGCAGTCTAGTCCAGTGGTCAGCAAACTCATGAGTCAACAGAGCCAAACATCAACAGTACAACGATTGAGATTTCTTTTGAGAGCAGAAAACCGACTTCTGGGCATGGGCCACGAAGTTTCAATCGCACTGTACGTGCGCGCGTGGTATTTTGTGGAAGAGCCGCACGCAAGGGGCCAAAGAGCCGCATGTGGCTCGTGAGCCGCAGTTTGCAGACCACTGGTCTGGTCTAATGAAGAACATGTGTGCGTTGGAACTAGACTCCCCAAGATCAATGCCAGGCCCTACCATTTCCCAGCCATCTATCTATTTTATTTATCTCAGCTTAAACAGCAGATGCGTCTTCCTCTCAGTTCTGGAGGCTGAGAATTCCAAGATCAAGGTGCGGGCACATGGACAGCGGTCCTCTCACTTGTCTTCCATGGCCCGCTGCTCCCGAGTCTGGGCTCAGGGCTGACTAGCGCTTCTGACTTGCTGTGACTGGGGGTAGGTCACCCCTCTCTCTGTGCCTCAGTTTCCTCTCCTCCCCTCTTCTCCCTCTGTTCTTTGCTTGTTCGTTCCCTTTTGCCTCTCTCTACTCCTCCTGGTCATTCTGCGATCGCTTTCCCAGAGCGCCCCAGGCCCATCTGTATTTGGAGCGAAGGTCGGGGGTGGGGGGGGGAGAGGGGGCTGCTCCCACCCAGGGGTTGAGGGAGGAACCTGCACTGGCACGGAGACCGGATTCTCCTCCTTTCCAGGAGGGCTTTCCAGGGGTGCAGCACAGGCGGACTCCCCTCCGCCCCCATGCGGGGCTCGGGCCCCGCTCCCCTCAGGCGTGCTCCAGTCTTCCCTGTCCTCAGTGAGTTATTCTGGGCCTCAGCTTCCCCATCTGGAAAGTGGGTGTGGTCATGACCCACTGCCCGGCTCTGGGGGACGCACACCAGTTCCAATCTTCGCTCGGCGCCGGCACCGCCGTGTGACTCAGTGAGTTATCAGTCTCTGAGCTTCTGTTGTCTCTTCCAACATGAATGAAATGCCCACCTCGTGGGCCGTGCTGCTGATTAAGCGAGACAATGATGCGCTCGGGGGACACTCGATAGGCGGCGGCCATTGTTGTCCGTTCCACCATTTCCCGGAAGGAACAAAGGCCGCGTGTTTGATGGCGAAGATGCAGCTTATCCCAGGCTCAGCTTGGACGCCACGGGGTGTGAGCGCGGCAGCCGCTCGGCCTGATTTTCACCACCCCCAATCGGTTCCTGTCTGTCACACATTCCTACCAGAAGGCTCCAAAAATGCCATGCATTCCAGCACGCCGCCTGGTCTGCAGTGCCCCACGCTGCAGACTTAGCGGGAAGCTCACCTGCCGGGAAAGTAGCCCCGGAGCCCCGCTCTCCCTGCCGCCTGATGGCACAGGAGCTCAGAGACACCCGCACGGCTCATGGCTGGCTGCCACTGCGCACTTTCTATGTGCCAGGCACCGTGCCAGGCCCTCCGCCACAATCTACTCGGCAAGATGGTGATTCCCATTGCGCTGGTGGGAAAACTGAGGTTCAGGTCGTTCCGCCTGCCCAGGTGACCAACCAAGAGACACAACAGGACTTGGGCCCAGGCCTGACCCTGAAGCTTATGTATCTTCTCCTTTCTCTATCCTGCCTCCTCCGAATCCAGAGACCCAACACATCCGTGTCACTGTCAGGGGTAATCATGCGGGGCAGGCTGGCCCCTTCCCACACTAGAGGCAGGAGAGGGCCCTTGCTCTGAGGACCCTCAGCCGTGGGGCTCCAGAAGACTTGATGACAGGTCACACCATCTGCCCGAGGCCACACA